GTTGATGATACAAGCTACACGCAGAAGTTCCAGGGCAGAGTCACCATGACTGCAGACAAGTCCACGAGCACAGTCTACATGGAGCTGAGCAGTCTGACATCCGAGGACACGGCCGTGTATTACTGTGCAACAGACACAGTGTGATAACCCACATCCTGAGCCTGTCAGAAACCCTGAGGGAGACGGCAGCTGTGCTGGGCTGAGGCCGTGACAGGGATGATTACATTCAAGTTTTCTTTAATGAAATACTGTGTAGATCATCTTTTAATCTGTTATTCGAGGAGGAGTCGGCTCAGGTAATTTGTTTAGTTTGAATTGAGTTGTTTGGTTTTTTTTTTCGTTCAGTTGTAAGTTTCTTGTATATTCATGATTCAAGTCCAATACCAAATAGGAGCTATGAAATTATATTCTCTCATTCTGCAGACTGTCTTCAACTTTCCTCATCAGTGTAGTTCTTGTTTCAGAACAAAGTTCTTAAATTTAGATACGTTAAAAATTATCAATTTGCTCTGCCCTGGATGTTTTGAGTATTATATTTGAAAATTCACTGTTAAATTCAAGGTTACCCAGAATTCCTGCCATGTCCCAAAGGCCAGGCCATATTCGAGAGATGGAGGGTCAAGATCCACATTCTTGAGGGAGGAATAACCCGACATAAGTTATCTGAGTTTCTTATGAGATATTTGTCACTCCTCTGCCATTTGTTTTATGTAATCAATCTATTTATATCACTATGGATATTAGGTATTTATTTCATACTTTGTGTTAAGGTCCAATACTAAATCATTCATCTTGCAGATAGTTTTTTTTTTTTTTTTGCTTTTTGTTGAGGAAGATTGGCCCTGAGCTACCAGCTGCTGCCAATCTTCCTCTATTTTTATTTCTCTCCAAAGCCCCAGCATGTAGTTGAAGATCCTAGCTGCAGATCATTCTTTTTGTCTGATGTAGGATGCCACCACAGCATGGCTTGATGAGCAGTGTGTAGGTCCACGCCCAGGATCTGAACTGTCAAACCCCAGGCCACTGAAGCAGAGTGTGTGAGCTTGAGCACTTGGCCATGGGGCTGGCCCCACAGATAGTCTTTTGTTGGTTAAGTAAGCCCTCATTTTGTTTGATGATTATAAGAATTTTTTCTTCTTTAGGAAGATTGGATTGATCGCATTTTGAAACCTGATGACTTTCACATTACCTGGATAAACAGCACTCTGTGGTATTAGGTTATCTTTTGTGTATAATTGTATTTAGTTGGCCAACACTTTTTCGGGAGTATGTGTCTGCCTCCATCAGACACATAGGTCTGAAATTTCTTACTCTTCTGACACATTTGTCAGCGTTCAGAATAAAGTAACGCTGAGGATGTCAATGTTCCCTACATCATGCCTCCACACAGATCTCAGATTATCTGACCAAATATGGGGTCATTCAAGGTAGACAGTTCCCAGGAGATCAGAGTGTCCCTTCATCCCTGGGCCTCCCTGCTCCTGTAGGAGGGGAGACGAGGTGTGGGGGCTAGAGAGCAGGCACATCTTTACCACGTCCTCAGATCCTTCTCCCAGACATGATGAATCTTCTTCTCCCGCTTCCCACGGGGCACAGGGGGCAGGGCAGAGAGGAACATCGGGGTGACCTGACTCCAGCTGTTGTTGGCTGAGGTGACAACCCAAGATCAGGACGTTTGGAACCGTTTGCTCTAGCTGTGATCTCTTACAGACGTCCATTTCCTTTACTTGTGGCCAAGTTCTGACTTCCAGAAGAGGACAGAGGTTTACAACCGGAACCGGCTTACAGACTCTTGTTGAGTGCCCATTTCCACTGGAGAAGCTTACATTTAATGTCCTCACTGGATGTCACTGTGACAAGGGTTCACCCCATACTGTGATAAGGGTACCAGAGAGTGTCTACACTGGGAAAAGAAAGGGGTGATGGACAGAGTAACTCTGAGCATCCAGACAGAGGGATCATTTACACTGAACCTCCCCAGAATCCAGGTCAGGGGAGGGACCAGCTCAAGTGGACAGATCACAATACGCACAGGGGAAAAGACAAGAAAATGTGGCCACTCCTCTGCTCATGAAAATCAGCTCACCTCCTGTCCCTGCAGATGCTGTGAGGAGCCTCCCCATGTGTGTGTCCTTCCTCAGTGTCCACACCATGGGGTCTGTGCTCATCTGGGATTCCCTTCTCATCACTGTCAGAGGTAACGTCTCTCCTGCATCAGGCACAGCAGCAACTGCTCCACATGGACGGTCCTTAGTCTGCTTGCTTTGTGTTTGCAGGTGTTGTGTGAAGTTAAGCTGG